TATTGGCCAGTCAGCCACTATGAAGAAATGGGTAGTTACGATCCAAACGGTTGAGAATCGCCCAAGGAGTATAAAAGGAAGAGGAAAGCAATAAAGACCGTCCCGACAAAATTCACTCTCAAACAGAGAATATGTAATTTACTTTTTAGATTAACTTTAATTACTTCAATCTCCTTGTACTTGTGTGCTTGTGCCCCTTGAAGGCATCTTGTTCGCATCCAAACTGTAATATTCATATTCGATAAACACCTCTTTTTGAGATTTTGTTCCAAGAGATTTGTCCTTTACATAATCATCTGATCTCTTTTTAATTGTTAGCGAGTAACCGCGCGAAACACTTAGTTAAATGAGTGGAATATATAAAATCCTATATATGGGTTTTGCACCTGGTTTTTCGTGGNCTTTTTAATTGTTATCTAGTTACCGCGCGAAACACTTAGTTAAATGAGTGGAATATTTAAAATCCTATATATGGGTTTTGCACCTGTTTTTTCGTGGTTAGGGTTTTATAGCCAAATATATGGGTACAATTTTGAGCCTGAGCCCTTCGATCTATAAATTCCTTAGTGTTACTGAGATTTTTATCATAGATCGTGGTTTAGAATTTCAGATATTGAAGAGATTGTTTTTTATCAAAAAACTTATATTTTGTTCGAAATCGTTTTCTAATAGTAGCAATTATGTATGGCCTCCAGAAGTCTAAGGACAATTCAATTGTCTCTCATATGGGATGGGAAAGGAAGGGTAACTATTGTATCTACATAAGACACCCAAATTGAAGGAGGTGGCTTGGCTGGCGTATTATCTAGTTGAAAATATTGCAGAAGAAGAATATGGTATTGTGTCTTCCCCAGTTTTAGTGTCCATCGAGAGTTTGTGAAGAATATGTTGTTACCAAATAACATTGGGGGTCCTTTTGTGAAAGGAAAATTATGAAGAGTAAAGAAAGCGTGCGAGCTAGCCCATTCCGATACTTGAGGGCCGATAAATCCAACTTTCTAACGATGATAAACAATATTTCGTTACTTTTATTGATACTGATCATGGGGGAAGAAATCATCTAATGATACCAAAGAAAAATATTTTGTTCTTACTCCCCAGCTTGGGCAAATGAAAAATTATAGTCACCCATTATTTATTGAATTTTTTCAAATAATTTAAGCGCACGTGCTTAACAGTCAATAGAACACGATATTGGTAGATTAAGTTCTCATCGGTATTTAAAGAGCCAACAAATTTCTTTGGTTGAGCACGACAAAATTAAGCTCTCATAGGAATCCCAGATTCCACCAAAAAAACAAAAAAAAATCTCCACCGGCCAAAAAATCTCGACCGGCTAGCGACCAATCAAAAGTGGCTGCTACAAGACACTTGACGGACCAAAAATTGATTGGTGAAGGTTTTGGTCCTTTAAAGTTGGACTAATTTTTTCTACGCTCTTTTGCACTCGTCGAAACACTTGAATCTGGTGACAGGGATTTCTTGTAGAATATTTTATTTCATTAAGTTTTTTTTAAGGTATTAAAAAAAGACCAAGAATGGGTCGTACTTTTCAGTAACTAACTTTGACTTAGTTGCGGTCCAATTTGACAAGATAAATTAGTATACAAATAGACAAAATTTAATTAGAACAAGTTGAATACATATTTGATAAAACTGATAAGTGCATTTTTGTGCAAGTATTAGGGTCATATTACCAAG